TTTACTTTGAATGACCTCACCTGATTTCCATGTTGTAAAACTTTTAATAGGTATCATACTTACATATCTAGAAATTTTAAAATTATTGAGATAGCATTAATACGATTTCAATCTAATCGGCTGATCATAGGCATTGAACAAATAATGGAGGCGAAACCCGAACATTGGAAGATTTGAAAAAATTGGAATAAAGTAGTCACATTATTCAAAAGCTGGAAAACGTTTTCAACGCGCAATTTAACTAAATGTGGACGCTCTTGACGATCTGACATTGATTCCTTCCCAATTTATCTCTTGCCGCTTCCTCTGTAAAGATGTCCCGCCATGGTTAAAATGGAACACCGCTTTACCGGGAATGCTATGCGTATTTGGAAGATTTTAATGATTTGAAATTATAACTTTGCTTGAATGTAATATTATAAATTGAGCTCAATGCCAGTTCAATCATTTTGCATATCACATTAAATTAAATATCTGCATTCTAAAAGTAAATTTTTGTGCTCATGCTTGTATGACCTAATTTAGCCTAAACTTTGATTTAATTATCTTGACTTCAGGCTGTCTAGATATTGCGTTTTATTCTACTAAACAGTTTTAACTTTTCCCGTTCTAGATTATACTTGATAAATATAGAGCCACTGTGGAATCCAAAATCTAATAGAACCCCACGGTGATTTCTATTGACCGAATTCAAAATCAGATCAACATGCTAGTCTACCTGTTAAATCAGAATGAGTTTTGCAAAATCGCTCCACTTCATTTCAACAACTACAAAATTAAGCTGTTTTTCTTTCGATTTTAATTAAATCTTATAAATGAAAGGAAAATAGCTATGGGCTTGCTCATACGATTGACAAGAAGAAGGAAGCTAATCAGATTATCAATTGGAAGTTTTACAAGTCATATCTTCTTCAATTGAACAAAAGCCAACTCGATTTTTTAAGAAAGTCGTGCAATTGACTAAAATTGATGAATTCTAAGTGGAACTCTAAACCTGAGAAGCAATAATATATGGGAAGATACCAATAAGGCAAAATGCTTTTTCCTTTAAAGTATTTGTGAATAGGTTAACAATGTAGCAGTAAAATGACCTCATCAGTATAACGTTCCATAACATTGAAAAAATTGGCTCTTAAAAAGGTTTATTTATTTCAAATGGCAGGCCTTTTGAGAGTTATCATTAGCCCTTTAGTTGACTTCGGGCTTCACAGAAGGTAGGAACATTAAAGTGAGAAAAATTCGACAGTGGAAAAGGTGTATTGTAAGAAAATGACAAAGTGTGCCGATAAAGGTGTTACCTTTTAGATCAATGAAATATTCACATTTAAGCAAGTGTCAGCAGAATAATTTGTCCTTATAGCTTTAAATACGCATTTAAGCTATTTTAGTCCTTTCATTTAATCCATTGAAAAAATTTTCCCATCCCTATCTAGTTCCAAATTGTTTTGTTTATATTAATGCTCTGGTTACCACCAAATCTTGATTTAAATTTTCTCTGTTAGTAAACCATATTCTTAAAGCCCAATATTTTGACATGTATCTCTCATTTATATTTAAAAAATAGCCTGAGGATCCAACAAGAACTAATTCGAATTAGGACTTTCAAGAGGTCTACTTTTAAATCGTGTGCTTTTCAGTCCCTCATAAACGTTCTATACAGCGTTCTTCTTATCGAACTACAATTAAGGGCATCTGTCCCTTCTCTGATCATTTATTTCAAATAACCCTGAAAATATTGAAGTCACTGTGATCAATTTCGACTTTCGACTAAACTAATAACGATTCGCGAAACAATGCAAAGATACTTGTTTGCTTGCTGAAAGAGAATGGATACTGATCGTGAAACAGCTTGTCTTATAGAGACGTGGGTGAGCAATACTACAGCTATTACTAGTCATGGAGTTTCTGTGATAAACATAAACAAGTAATTATAATTATCCTTTGATTTGCTTTGTACTTATTCTATTCTTTTATATATTACTTTTGTGATTACAGTTCCATGTTATAAAACTGCTGGTAATATCCAGAAAGCCATTAAATTGAACGGAGTATAATGTCTGGCTTTAGCTTGAGAACCTACCTTAATGATTTTCGCAATGTGTTCATAAAATGGAAGCTGTCTTACAGTTTGAAAGTGCTCTTACTTGAATTAGGATTTCCAGGGGTCTAACTAGAAAGCAAAACTAAGAGTATTTGGCACACACTGTAAATAAACTTGAGCGCTGTGGTTAATGAGATATCAGCTTAGAGAACTCATTCAAAGCAATTACTGAAAACGCTAGTAAACGTTAATGAATGGTGGACGAAAAATCGACATCTCAAACGATACGTTAAACTTGCACGTCAAATGACTGATACGTTATTTCTTTCTGTGTTAAAATGTATAAGAATCCCACAGTTATTTCTGCCTTCCAGAGCGTAATACACAGTTGTTTGAGTTGATTCAACTGAGAAGTTAGCAAACGGATCATATATCATTAATGAGATTAGGCTATTGTTGTACCTCATCGCTCACATGATTGCAACATTGCCAAGGCAATCTATTGTACTTACGTGCTGACTGGGATTGTTTTAGGTATGGTGTCATTTAAAGAATTGGCGCGTGTTTAAAGCAAACAATAGGTTTGCGAGAGAGAAAACGGTAACATGGACATATAACCGTAAGGAAAGGAATGGCGTTCGACAGAATGTGAATCAAAGAAACAACTAACTCCAACCCGTCAGCCTTAATAGCTTACCACTAAGCGCCAAGTACTATACAAAATTTGGGTTTGAAAAACTTTAGAATGCCACCTTGAGATCTGCCATTTCAAAGCTAATTAGCTGGCGGTATTTTGACTTCCTTTGTGCCTTGTTGCTTTGAAATTGGACAATTATCAGTAAGAAACTAGATTCAACTAACCACCTTTGTAGCAACTTGTTCGACACCTCGAGGCTTTGCGGCCCTCTAAGGTGATAAAATGTACACGCAAATGTTCCCGACACAGAAACTCAGCGATATTTACATCACTAATTGCTCTGGGCAACTGGTGTGTATAGTAATTGAATGGTTTTAAGGCGAATTTGAGCTGGCAAATCTCATCAGTGGAAAATCCGATTTCTAATCAACACGATGCATTCACGTCGGCATAATTGTTAAAAGTTAAAAAATCTTACTACCACAGAAGAATGTAGAAGGCTTGATTTTACATAATTACGACTTATTATTTTCTAATCGAAATTATTTCGCAATATTGTGTAATTCACGGAAATAATGTAATCAATTTTTCATGAAATTAAAAGTAGAAATACCCTTAAAATAGTTTCAGAAAATAATAAATCACGAATACATAGTGGCACTGCAAATAGGTGCCTTGCATCAGACGCTATCATTAAATCAATAATTTTTAGAGAAAAATTTACATTCTTACTGTGATCTATCTGGTTAGGATCAACTAGCAGACCAGTATGTTCAAGGATTCTATGGACCTCACCGGCCGATCCTTTAATCTAGACCCAATCCATGCATCAGTCGATTGGCTTTAATACCGAATTCTAACCAGATGGAAGACTTTTAGATCTCGATTTACAATGACTGTCAAGAAATATTGGGTTCAAAAAGAAATATCCTAACCTCACTCTTCATTACAATAAACTTTCCAAATATTATTCATGCCTTTCAAAACTATACCTCTGAGTAAGCTCACTGGGCAAGATTTGTTTGAAAATTTCCATCCATGTAGGAGGTGCTTTCCGCTACTTCTAAACCGCATCCATGACTTAGAACTTGCCAGCTACGAACCGCTACAGCAGCAGCAGTCAGGAGCCTGAATTGATGACTGCAAAGAGGATTGGCACCTAGTATAAGCCATTTGTAGTGGTCTTTCAACGAGACCATCTTTCTCAGACCCGCATATACTTTTTAAGATTGATTCGATCAGACCTTTAGCTCCAGCTCGTCGCCTAAGTAGCGACATGTCACTCATGAACTGCGGCCAAGTGGCCTGAACTTAATCGGGCTGCATCACATGCAGAAAACTTGATGAACTTCACTCACTGGGTCAATGTGGCCTAACCGACGAACGCCTACCATCATCTGATCTCTACTTTCCAATTGTGAAAACCTCTCAGTAGACCCCCAACAATGCAACCACTATTAATTCACTAGCCTTTTGTACTTAATATGGTTCTACAGCCACCGATTTTTCAACTCCATCTATTTGCTGTGAAGTTCGAAAGTAACTCAACAAGAACTCAATAGTCGCTTAGTTAACTTCAAAGAGGCAAAATATATCTAAGATAATGAAATGGCAAATTGATGGTGAGCCAATCAACTAATAAGCATTAAACCAGAATAATGGGTTACCTAAAAATTACCCTGTAGACCCCTACCTTAATGACAAAGTAGTACCTAGAAAATCGTGGAAGGTACCAAATGAAGACTCAGAAAAATAGCAAAACAACGACAGCTGTGGGAGTAGCAATCAGCTATTTGTGAAATAGCCATAGAGGCAAGAAGAGAGATGGGGATCTAGAGAAAGGAAGTGATTTGACACATAAGAGGAGCACAGGAAACCTTGAGCAATATGCAACACCGGCACATTATGTTGTACAATTACAGCCCACATATAATGCATAATCAACTGCTACAACCCCCATTCCCACCCACACAACCTCATTGAGCTGCGAAAGGAAGTTACAAGAGGAGCAAAATGAGTAAGTCAACATTCCTGTGAACAAAAAGAACAAAAGTCAGAAATTAAGACTAGTTCCTCTAAACACTTTATGAGCCCAAAACCATGCATCCATTCACCACCACAGCTCAATTTACAAAGGAAGACCTAAATATATAAGTAGAGGAAGAGGAAGGGGGAGATCAAGTATAAAATTAGAGACGAAAAGGAAGAGACAAAATGAGTGTAAGAGTGCAGGTTTGGCAGTACGTGAGTGTGAAGTAAATCTGTACATTATGAGATAGAAGACAGAGTGAGTGAGGGATAGTGTAAAGAAACTAGCACCTATCACATAACAGAACACTTTCCATCTTTGCTATGAAGTTCAGAAGATCCCTGGCGATGCATGTTATGGTGGAGAAAGTGAAGTGGTGTCTTCGACCCCGACCCAGTAGAGTTCGCGCTGTTCACGCTAATGGCATCAGGTGCAACAGTAGAGTTAGCTGGAGTAGTGGGTGTTGCAACATTGGAAGAATGGCCATTCGAGCCTACAGCGCTGGTAGCTGGTGTATCACCACTGCGAGTTATCAGTAGATTCGGATAAGAGCAGGGTTTGGTATCGGCAAGTCTGCGTACCTCATTCTTTGGCGTTGGAATTTTCGGAACAGTTGAAACATTGGAAGTAGAAGCCTTTGAAGCACCGATCGATTTTTTCGGGGCCTGTGATGTTGGTGTGATGTTTGGTGTCTTTGTACTGTGGTGAGGTTTCTTAGAAGTAGTAGCACTGCAACCATGACCGTTGCCATTATGACCAATCACTTTTGCACCCGGGATATTGTCCTCATCGTCCACTTCCGTGAGCATTTCAAGACCACTTACCATGGTCGTTGCGAGCTGTGCGGGACGAGGAGGGCTGGCGAAATCGCTCAGATCTACACCACCGTTACCCATCATTGGTGGTGCTTCAACCTCAGCCTGTTCACGAATTGAAACTCCCACGCGAGGTGAGAGACCTGCTGTGCCCCGCCTTTTTAAAAATGAGAGGGTGAGACACACATAAAACTATTAATTGGCGCTTTCTGATGATTACTATTGCAATGCACCAAACAGAGCGACCCAAAAAATTGAACATGTTAAATGAATCAATCCGATCACTTCGCAAAGAGAATTCGAACCTTAGGAAAGGATCATACAAAGTTAATGCTAAAAAATGATGATATTAGACAGCAATCGGCTGTCCAGTGTTAATTGGCCTGTTTTTAATTAGAATGCTAGGACCTGCTACTTTGATTCATTTTTTGCTTTCATCATACAGTCTTCTAAGCAGAGATCTGTAAGCTGAACAGCTAGTCGGAATTTCATCACCTTGTGAAAATGATAAAAGTTGGACGGGTCATTTGATCAAATGAACATACATGGTCTGAGCTCAAAAGCGTAGCGTTTTCCAGGTAAAACAGCTCTGAAACTGTGCATTAATTTAAATTATCACTGAGGGTTGTTAGCTCACAGACAATGGAATTATAAACTAATGGGTAAGTAAAGCCGGAGGCAGTGACAACATTCTATCATTATTTTAGTAACAGAATCACTTGGACTAAATATGAACTGCCAAGATCAGAAAATAGGTTTCGCGAGCACACATGCGTTCATTTGCATGGGAAAAATAACGACAAAGCGGAGGAATGCAACTCACATTCTTTGTCCAACACGAAGACGCGATAAGTCAGGAACAAGGGCACGCGGAGGCTCCATAACACTCGAGGCAACGAAGGAGAATCCCTGTAGATAATAAAACACGTGGTTTACTCATTTTATTTAAGTAGGGCACGTTTGGGACAAGGTAACATGAAATAAAAAGGGGGAAGGGAGAAGTGCAAAAGCGAAGTGCGTCGTGAGCTTGATTATCAAAAAGCGCAGAAATAAGGAAGAGAGGGGCTCTAAAAGACAAATAAATAGACAAAAGACCACACATTGAAGGCATCGCCGAGATCAACAAGTCAGGCCATTACGAGCACCACTTTATTTGAAATTTGATAAAAATAAAATAAAAGAAACTTCACACCACTAGTGAATAACACGGAAATAAAACAACAATAGCAACTATGTTCACTTTCATCTACATCGTCCGTTCGCGCGATTCTAATGTTCGCATATAGTTGTGCCAATGGCCCCACTCTCAGCTTTTTCTGCAGTATTTCGATTTCATTCGTTCTCAAATATACCAGCGCGATGGGCAGCAGAGAGGGAGAGAGCGCACGCGCGCGATTACTGGCTAGCAATTACCTTTCCCTACTCCCCAATAGGCATCATAAGCGTTAAATAACACATTTCCTTACATTCGGCAAAAGTCTCTTGATTATTATTCAATGCGCGTTAAGAAAACAATGATTGCATATGCAGCTCCTTAAGTTTATGAAATCGTTCCTTCAAAACAATTTACAGTACAATAAATGTTAGGCGTGGAGGAAAGTAGATGACATAAAAACACCCGACTGCAGCTCCTAGAGGTTCAACCTATTACTAGCCTCAATTAAATGAACGAATGTAGCCGTTAACGTGACGCTTTATCTTGAATTACAAGTGAATCAGAATTACTATGTTAAATGCGTGGCAAAATCTCCTATCCGCTGTCTAGTGTAATTCATCATCATAAAAATTTTCACGCCTAAGATTTCGCAAAGAGGCTCTTGAATATCTACGGCCAAGAGCAGTTTTCAGGGACGAAGTCGTTGCAATCTTTTGCAGTAAGTGCAGTATTCAAATCCATACCTCATGTTTCTAGTTCACATTAATTCGTTAAAAATTGTAATCCACTTTCATTATGAGGAGGCATATGAAGGCAGGAAACAGTGAACTAGCTGAGTGGCGGGGAGGGGGGATAGGGACCCCCCCCCACTTAATATATGCTGTTTATTGCCGCATATGCTAAAAAATGTCGAGAGTTACAGACCACGATTTGTTTCTAGACTTACTAAATAAACTGATCGGTTGAATAATCGGTCCAAAGCATTTTCTTTCTAAGGTTCCAAGTTATTAGGATAAAGGGTGGCGAGATCATAGCACAACGAAGTTCACTAGAGTCTACTTAAGATCAAATCCCAAAGAACCTTTTCATTCCAAGCGAGTTAACAAACAAGCAAACTCAGTTATCTCAAATTAAACTTGAACTATTAAGGTAATTATTGCTCACAATCGCTCTATTTTGAGGAGAATATCCTCTTCTCTTTTCTTATTATAGAACACAAGCTCAAAATACGCGAACCTAATCAGAACAATAGTGAAAATGTATGTGATGCTTAAGCATCATGAACGCATTTCTACCACTTTACACTAGGTGAGCATACACAGCACTCTAGCGGATGGTATGCGATGACATGTTTGTTACGCATCAAGAACAGCACACAAAATCATATAAGATAAACGTGATCTCCTTTGTTGTCTGCTCACGTAAACACACTCGATAGAGGTAGAGATATAGGAAAGATAGGTAGAGACCGTCAAAACAGCGAAAGTTGGTGAGAGAAAGAAAGGCTTATAGAGGATGGCGTGACGCTGAGAATTACATCTCTCTTTAGGCGTCTGCATATGCAACTGGTAATAAAAGAGATGTGACGCTGGTTTAAACAAGGCAAATACCAAAAAACTCCAGACCTAGTACAATTGGACTGATATAAACTTTTATAGGAACCTTAAAGGTCAAATCTCAAAATTTGAACTTTGGGTGATCCAATGAATCGATGATTTAAATGAATTATTTGTATAAATCAGCTGCTCACAGCAAAAAGGGCAGTTTTCACTTCTCCGCAAATAATGATAAGACATGCTTTCAGGAAGACGTTACTACACGAAGTCGTTGCAGATAGTTCTTGGCAAACGCGAACCAAAAGCGCTGGTAAATGTCAAATATTCATGCAATTAAAATACATAGCAAGGCAAGAGCGCACTTTTATTGTGGGAAGCAAACGAACTCGGTTTAAAGTCTTAAAAAATACCGAAATTGCATAGAACGTCATCACTTTATAATCTCAAGCACAATCGGAGTAACCAAGTTAAAAAGGGAGAGTGAATGAACAGAAATGCGAATGAAAAAATTATTATTGTACCATATTTGGCCCACATATGAGCACATTTATATCAAGGCGAGAAGAATGCTACATATATAAAAAAATGCCTTTGTATGTTTATAAATTAAACTACCTTCCACGTATGTGGACTTACCTGAATATATAGGAAATTGATAAGGTAAGCGATATTTAGCATATGGTCATAGTGGGAGTACTTAATCAGAGATGACCAGAGACCCTTAATACACTCTAAAGCATGACTTCAAATTTGAGCTGAAAAGGAAAAATTAGTGAAAGAAAAAGCAAGCCAACCTATCTTCAAAGCTCTGAAGCGTTCACGCTTAAAATACACCTTTTGTTATTGTAAAACTGATAAACAGAGACTAATGATAATGAATATGGGTCTTTGAAGATACACCTTCCGAATACCACAATTGAATTCCCCCCACTAATGTTAGTTTAAACCATAGCCTTAAAAGATATCGGAAATTGCATAATTAATATTTCGTCTTAGATGCTACGAAGTGTCAGTAAAAAATATCTAAATATTTTTTTTAAAAAATTCCGAAGCAAATTATATTGTTTTAGTTCTCTTGGGCAATGAAAAAAGGAAGACACCATGGGCAAACAATTTATGGCAATTTATTCTCAATTAGCAGCCTTGTCAATAGACTAACTCCTTGGGGGAGCATATTAAAATTTAAGGAGCACTTGTATCGTCGTCTGACAACAAATGAAGCATAAACATGACACCACACGACGATAAAGGTATATGTACTATATAACATAAAAAGAAACAAGGTGCTACTTTCCTCTCAAGCACAAATACTTAAAGCCGCCTTCCTATAAAAGAGTGAGTCGAAAAATAGGCCTTTAAAGGTCAATTGTAAAGTACACCCCCCCCCCTCCCAGAGGATATGAGCTTTCAATCACTTAAAAATATTGTAATTAGTTGGTTATGCTAATGTTCCAAGAATATCGTCAAAATCCATAACCCTAACTTTATGTTCAGGTTTGCCTCGGAATAGTCGCCTCATTAGACCTCAAACTGTTTCAATTAGAATTCTCATAGCTTATCTTGCACTGAACGCAGTTAGAGTACATAAACAGCTTCGTGCGGGGGGGGGGGGGTAAGGATATATTTATTTATTTCAAATGGCAGGCATTATGATAGTTATCATTAGCCCTTTAGTTGACTTCAGGCTTCACAGAAAAGGCGATGGGTGGGGAACAGAAGAGCAATTCACAGATGAAAAAAGAGACGGACACAAAAGCATAGAAAAGGTAAGGTAAGTACTGTAGAAGGGGTCGAATATGACATACAATAGGGTCATTGTAATTTGAAGTCCGAAGTCGACTGGCGGTTAATAGACTTTTTGCCGTTGCCCAGGGTGCACCACGTGGAGGTAAGTCTATCGCACACCCCGGGGTAAGGATATAATCAAATGTATAATCATATAAATAGCATAGAAATAGAAACTACTAAAGAAGCCATATTAACTTCCACTTTACTTAGTATTTGCTTCCTTACTCCATGGGAGAGAAGAGATTTAATAAGAGAATTAACTGCTTGAAGCAAAAAACCGAAATTGTTAACTTAGGGGACAGACATCACATGGAAATCAGTGAAAATTGCAGAAACACAATATGCACAAACACGAGGAAGAACATTTGAATTCTAGCGGCCTTGTAGCAAAAGTAAAAATCACGAATGTAACGACTGACCTATTGCCTGACGCACCCTCCAGTGCATTGTAGTGTGAAGCGCAAAGGAGATACGCACGCACACGCATGCACATACCGAAAGCAAGGCCAGCGCGATACATCCAACTACTTCCACATTATAGAATAAAACCCGACAAGTTTTGTAGAGGTGTCAGGAATGTGCCGATCAATAAGGCATGAATGAGGCATTTACAAAGTGAGACATGCGCAACATAGCAAAGTACCCAACTTCAGTAAAAACAAAACTTTGAATTGGCAAATAAAGGGTGCATGTTTCAAAACAATCAAAGGGGGATAACTGTTAGATGTCAGTGAATTAATGGGTAAGAGGTAGGCAACCAAAAAAGAGGCAGAAAACTGCCTTTACGCCAATGTGCCAATGACGCGTGTAGGTTGTCAACTTCTTGTAAATATACGCATAGAAAATACACTAAGGTGAGTTGAGGTTGAAAGAACAGTTAATTGAGTGGGTAAGTTCTTCCCTAAGTGCCCAATGCCAGACTGTTAACACACGACTTGTACTTATACGTGAACATAGAGCGTATGACGACCCACATTTAATTCGAGAGAAATTATAAATAGCGTGGAATAATGAGTGCTCAAACCCATGAAATAACTCGGCTAAATGAAGGCAAAGCGACGAAAGAAATAACCTCAAATCCAAAAGAGAAGATTTTTGATGTTTGCAACTGATGTAAAAATAACGTAATGAAATACATTTGCAAGGTGAAAACCTCATTAAGATACATATTTCAGGGCAAAATTAGATTCGCTTCCGGTTTTACCTACCCAGCACTAGAAGTAAAATTTAGACAAGAGGATGCCCCAGGCAATCACTCTGGTCTGTTTGAAGTCACAGCCTGATTCAACAAAAGGTTACGAATAAAATATTTACTTTCACTACTATTATGGGAACTGGAAACAGATTTTTTGAATTGTTCCGAAAATTTAGATCTAGAAGCACCTTACGAACAAACGAAACCTAGCTCCTTAATACTCGAAACAAGAGTTTTAAGGACAAAGGAAGGCCAATTAAAATTGAAATCTTAACTTTTAAGGCGGAATTACCTAGACCATCTTCAATAGCACTTTAATGCTAACATCTATTCACATTCTCATAATTAATTAGACAATAAGATGAGAAAAAACACCTCGCAATATTGTGCCAACTGGATTAGATCTTGCTCTATAAGGAAAGACGAACAAGAGAGGGAGGGGGGGGGACGCATGAGATTAAAATGTCTCTAGAACACCATCGATATTCAATAAGATGCATATCGTAACAACATGAGAAAATTAAGAAAACAGCGACCACATAAATCAGCTTGAGATGTCGAGAAAACAAAGGAAATTTGGGAATCAGAATGAAAAAATTCAAAACAAATTGACAACCACGTGATTCATGGACAAATTTTACAATTACACTAATAAAGCCATTACAATTGGTGGAGCTTTTGTTATTATATAATCGCAGGGTGTGTTATAAACAACTAAGTGCAAATTTTTGTGCGCATTCAGGTGAAAATTACCAGAAAGCAAGTAATGCTTAATTGCTTGCAAAAACATGAAATTACAGAGCTAATTTTCAACTGGCAGAATAAAATCAAACAGGGGACTGGTTTTATCAGTAATGTGACAGAATTACAATGGTAGGGAGGACAGGCAGATAAATTTATATATAAAAGGCGGAACAAATAAAATTACGTCAAAGAGAACCAAGTTAAATTAGGATAGGTTCAATCAAAGTTACATCAAATATTGGTAAGGACAAGAACTCCATACATTTTGACCTAAATCACACATACACACCCAAATGATGACATGATCGAGATTAACGCAAAATTATACAAATGAGATAGGTTTGAGGGGCAAAGGATTACTAATATAAATAGAAACGAATGGAGACCAAGAAATACACAGATGTAGGCAGGCAAACCAAAAAATATATTTTACTGTTGGTGCTTACTTGAAATAGATCAGCAGGTATGGGATCATCAGAATTTCCAGGACTGACAATTGGTTTCATTTTAGTAAAGCTGGGGTCGAACATGGAGACATCGGATTCAGAAGAAAGTTCCGGTGTATATGGTGGCTCCATTCTGCGATTGTACACGTCATCCCAGTTAATACCCTGGAATGCAATAAAAAGTAAAAATACAAGTTAAATGAAGAAGATAAGGTCACGAATATTCTTGTGAAGTCTAATGATAAAAAACGAACTGCAAAAAAACTACTTGGCATGAAAGCAAAAAGCGGAATATGGTAAAAAACGTACATGTCGAGCAAAGAATGCTTGTTCCTTGATTTCCTCTACGTCATTCTTAGTTCCAAGTCGCTCCTTAGGATCCTTTTTAAGCAGGCCACGTATAAGCTGAACAGCTTCAGTTGAGAAGGATGGAGGGAACCGAACTTGACTCTTAATAATCTATGATAACAACAGTAAAAATTCCGTTTGATTATAAATAGGACTTACTTTCTCAGCAGTCGCTTTCTTGTCAGCTTCTTGGCTAAATGGAGGCTATAAAAGGTTCGAATAAGTCTAAATTAATGAGAACGTACCCCGCCAGAGAGCATGTCAAAAAGTAAAGTCCCCAAGCTCCACCAGTCTACAGCTCGTCCGTGTCCTCCACATCGAATAATTTCTGGGGCCATATACTCAATAGTTCCACAGAAAGTATTAGTTGTGCCCACGCCCTCTTTAGATAGACCGAAGTCCGTCAGTTTGACATGACCGTCTTTGTCCAAGAGAATATTTTCGGGTTTAAGATCACGGTAAATTATGCCAAGAGAGTGCAAATGACCGATTGCTAGGGCAATTTCGGATATATAGAAGCAGGCTGCATCCTCCATGAGAAAGCATTCTCGTTCCAAATATCTGAATAGTTCACCACCAGGGCAATACTCAAGAACTATATATAAATTCGATCGATTTTGGAAAGCATAATGGAGTCGCACCAAAAAAGGATGCTATAAATATATTTATAACATGAACGATAAAAAATAACTAGACTAACCTTAAGCATTTGTAAAATATTCCGTTCAGAAACTGTGTGGACAGTATTCTTTTCGTTACGAATTAATTTAGCTTTCTTAAGAACTTTCATCGCATAAAACTTGTCCTTGTCCGGACTCTTCGTGGTTTTTTGGACGAGATATACCTTGAAACTAAGAGAAAGGACGAAAACTTACGGTGCCATATCCACCCTTCCCGATAACTTTTAATATTTGAAAATCCTCAGCGTTAACTTTTTTGTTAGGATTAACGGTATCGCCACAAATTTCAAGTACCTCTGCTCCAGGACTAATTTTAATAAGCAAAATAATATGAACAATTACTCTATTTTTCCTTTATAGCTGTTTAGGTGTTGTTCAATCTTAAATTGCTTAAGGAAATATAGAACACTATACCTCTTTCATATGCGGCACACAAACGTCTGAAGTCTTCTTGTTATCATCATAATTTTCAGCTTCGTCTTGATCTGAGATCTCGTTGTCCGGGTCAACCGACATAAACGTAATCTCGGCCATCTCTTCGATTTTTAACTAATGAAATGCTAACGTCTCATAACGATTTCGAGTTAAATCGTCACCACCCGATACTAAATTTAAAACAAAATTTACTAAAATGCTATGGTTCAAATTTGTTACTTAAATATATAAATCATAATTTTACATAACTAAAATTCGAGGCATACATCTTGGTTAAAACTTACTAATGGCACTATATTATTGTATTAACCTTAATTGATTTATTTTTCCCCCGTATACTCTTCCAGGAAATCAAGGAAAAGATAAAAATTTCATCCAATATTAAATTGTAGAAATTAAGTGCCAATTCCTGAACATGAATTTTGATATATTAAATGTTAAATGAATTAATTTGAATGTTTGTTGGTAGTTTAATTTGTCATATTCAACATCTTTCAATTGTTATTAACTTTTTCTATTATCTTGTACACCAGAAGCATCAGTAAAAATATTGCAAATCAATAGATTTAAACTCTTCTAGAATCTTCCACTCAGTCAATTCATCCATACATTTTTCTTTATATATCAACCTAGAAACGAGTGTAGCATCGTCTCGAGAGAAGTTCCAACTTTCGACCTATTAATTGTTTAATAATGCATTTTCGAGTCGTACATTAATTAACCGGTTATGAGTACAATCATTTTCTTTAAACAATGAGCAAGTTCAAGACATTGCATCGTTGGACCATAGGAAAGTAGATTAAGCAGATTGTTCAACCCAGTGTATAGCATTTTTACAACTTTAATAGAACCTAGTCTCAATGACACTGCCAATATAATCTCATATTCCAAGTTGTTGGTTTAAATATCTCTTTTTGTGTTCCCTAATACAAATTTATCTTCATAATCCTTCATTGTTACTCTTTCACGGCGCCGTGATGCTTATTGCTTAATAGTTATGATTAGCGTTACCTCAATATTAGATCTGGAGATAATGACAAGTTAATTTTGTTAATAATTTCTGAATTTGTAGTTTGTAAACTTTAATTTGATAAAGATATATCATTGGGGTAAATGGAGTTGTAATACTCCAAATCACACAAATACCCATGAAATAGAGGTATATAAAGCATGATGATACAGAAAAATTAGTACAGGTTTCAGTTCACTTACTGTTATCAATATTCTTCTAACTTACGTCATGGTGGGATAGATTCAAGTTTATGGGATGCAAAACGCTGTCACGCTGACCAAAGGAATCTCATGTGCACTCAGACAGTCTCGAGGGTGCGGCTGGGCTACTTCGCGGTGGAAGTAAGTGTGGCGTGGCACGGAGACCAGCCAGGCAACTACCAATCAATAGTCCCTGGTTGGTTTAGCAAACCTCCAGTTTTGATATAATGCTTAAGCTCCCTGTTTGTAATACACTTCCCAAATAAACGTATTCCGTGGTATGCGCATGTTTCCTCTATGGGGGGCTTTGTGAACTAGACGATCTTGCCAGAGAGATTATTGAGCTTACCTCACGTTTTATTAATGTAGCAATCAGCTACAAGTAGAATATTACCATTGGCCGATGGAAAAGAGGGGGGGGGGGGGGGGAGGATAGTCGTCAAATATCGTAAATTATTTTGCTTTTAACACTCGAGTATTGGAATCAGGCATTAATCAAAAAATAACGATCTAAAACAAAGCGAAATCCGTCAAAATAGTTAAAAGGAAACGTAGCTTTATTGTGTGCCAACAGTGAAGGTAAAATCGACTCACTAGACACTGAATTATTATAGGATCTCTGCGTGATCATGTCAAAGTGCTAGCACGGTGATTCAAATTAAACTATCAACTCACTAGCGTAGCTCCTAGCTAAGATCGAATGAAAGGGTCCCGGAGTTGATTTCAAACTTCAAACTACAATGATCCCATTGTATGTCTAATTCGATCACTTCCACCATACTTATCCTACCTTTTCTCTGCCTTTGTGTCTGTTTACCTACCTTTTCTCTGCCTTTGTGTCTGTCTGTCTCTTTTACCAAGACCCCACCGCATTTCATATTCGACTAAGTAAACAGTCCAAGACCCCACCGCATTTCATATTCGACTAAGTAAACAGTACTCACCTTTTTTCTACCTTTGTGTCTGCCTGTCTCTTTTATCCCTTTTTCTCTGCCTTTGTGTCTGTCTGTCTCTTTTACACCTTTGCGACACTCTTCTGCCCCCCTTCTCCACTTTTTCTCACTTTGATGTTTCTCCTTCCCTCTGTGAAGCCTGAAGTCAACTAAAAAGCAAATGATAAGTATCATAATGCCCGCCAATTGAAAGAAATAAAGTCGCCCTGACATCACTAGATGTGCATTACAACGGACATCAATCTCGCGACCTCCAACTAGTTATGCCTATATGCCAGCCACTAAATTACCAGCGCAGTTACGATTGAAGGGAAAAAGTTCAGTCTATTCATAAATTATTCTGTAACGTTTGAATAGCTGATAAAATATCGAATTACTTTTCGAAATTGTTTGGGGCGAACAGCTTATAAACATGAAGGTCAACTGCAATAATAAGCGCTCAGTTACATATAAACATCTTTATTTTTGACTTAGTTTGATAAAGACCAAGAAATAAAACAATTTAGCAATCTTGTTGCATCACCTCATAATAAGTGAAATAATAATTTGCTTGGAGGTCCGCAAGTAGTGCACAATAATTAGGAAATAACATTCTAAATAAAGTTAAGTTCCAGGAAAGCAAGCTGTTTCTAAAGTATGTCATTCACTCATTTTCTTCCGGCACTCCTGATATGTTTTATTCCAATCTGACGCTTCTAAAGTTTCCCAAACAGATGTGTAGATGGTACCCTTATTTATGTTCTTTCACATTTCAGAAGCAAAGCTTGTTTCACACCTCCTATCACGGTTTCTGATTCTTGCTAAAACAATGTCCACTTGCAATTAGGTTGTGGAGCGTAAAATGCTAATTAAAGGAATCGCATGCGCCAGAACGGTTTGGAAGGTGCGTTGCTACTGCTCGAGTGAGGAAGTAAATGGGGTCATGAGTGCAATGACCTTTCAGCCAAATAGTCGCGGCAACATAGCAAAAATAGAATTTATTGACTAGGTTTTGTGACGGCTCCAGTTGGACTAGCTTAACTAATTTCTGGAGGAATTTTATACTTGGGGATTTTGACAGAACGAATTGTTGTTTCAAGGGGTACAAAATGCTTCCTAAGACGATGATTCATAGGCAATATAACCTTTGAATACAAGTAATGAGATTTTAGCACTTTTTCACTCTACATGTTCATTCTATAAGGGTTATTAGTTCACTTGATAAAGTCAAAACGCTCTAAAGCAGGAAAAAGAGTCAAGGGTCCAGATGATCTGACATCTTGCAGTTTGTACGTGACATTGCCTTTCTAACTAATTAATTCAGCGGAATTAGCTAAACTACCGCAATGCCATAGAGGAAAAAGACGTATGCCGTAACATAAATTTATTCGGGTGATGATAAGCTAGGTGTGTATACAGGTCGTGTACGTTGATTTGTGTTGCTTTGGTGGTGTTTTGCTATTGGGCATGTGTGCGTGCTTACTGGCAGGGGGCTTAGTCATTACATACACTCTCGGTTATGATAACGTAACAACGTAATGACTTAGTTTATTGGGTGATCGAGGGCTCCCTGCCCTCGTGACCTCATTTGCTCCCTCGGGCGATTGACATATTTGGACACGCATCCGTTCCTTTGCTTTAATTACGCTAATGTTGCGATAGACTTATCTCCACGTGGTGCACCCTGGGCAACGTATATTCATACGGCAAAAAAGTCTATTAACCGGCAGTTGACTTCTCACTTCAAACTAAAGTCTATTACCTGGCAGTTGACTTCAAACTACCATGAGTAAGTCTATTAACTGGCAGTTGACTTCTGAGTTCAAACTATCATGACCCCAAGTCTATTAATCGGCAGTTGACTTCTGACTTCAATTACCATGATCTATTAACTGGCAGTTGACTTCTCTATGTCATATTCGAAGTCTATAAACCGGCAGTTGACTTCAAACTATCGGCAAAAAAATTCTATTAACCGGCAGTTGACTTCTGACTTCAACGCAAAAAGGTCTATTAACTGGCAGTTGACTTCTCACTTCACAAAAAAGTCTATTAACCGGCAGTTGACTTCTGACTACTCAAACGGCAAAAAAGTCTATAAACCGGCAGTTGACTTCTGACTGAAAAGGTCTATTAACTGGCAGTTGACTTCTGACTTCAAATAAAAGTCTATCAATCGGCAGTTGACTTCTCACTTCAAACTAAAGTCTATTACCTGGCAGTTGACTTCAAACTACCATGAGTAAGTCTATTAACTGGCAGTTGACTTCTGAGTTCAAACTATCATGACCCCAAGTCTATTAATCGGCAGTTGACTTCTGACTTCAATTACCATGATCTATTAACTGGCAGTTGACTTCTCTATGTCATATTCGTTATATTAACTGGCAGTTGACTTCTCACTTCAAACTACCCTAAAAAAGTCTATTATTCGGCAGTTGACTTCTGACTTCAAAGCGGCAAAAAAGTCTATAAACCGGCAGTTGACTTCTCACTATCGGCAAAAAAATTCTATTAACCGGCAGTTGACTTCTGACTTCAACGCAAAAAGGTCTATTAACTGGCAGTTGACTTCTCACTTCACAAAAAAGTCTATTAACCGGCAGTTGACTTCTGACTACTCAAACGGCAAAAAAGTCTATAAACCGGCAGTTGACTTCTGACTGCATGTGGCAAAAAAGTCTATTAATCGGCAGTTGACTTCTGACTTCAAGCTACCGTGACCTCACTGTATGGCATATTCGACCACTTCCACTGTATACTATGGCCCAACTGCTTGTCATATTTGACCCCTTCACAGTACTCATCTTACCTTTTCCCCTACCTTTATGTTTGCCTCTTTTACATCTGTGAATCGCTCTTCTATTCC